AGAGTCGGACACGACTAAACGACTAAACAACAAATGAACAGCTGAAGGCAAGAACTGGAAACTGCCATTAAAAGTTGCAGCATTTGCAAGTTATTCATGTAGAGAAAAGGCAATTAAGAGGTGACAAAACTTTTCTCTCTGTCTCATAATACTAGAAGTAGTAGGCACCCAATAAAGCCAAATGTCAACAGATTCAAGACATAATGTGATAGGAATTTTGAGGTCTTAGATATATGTTAAATGTTCATAAGTGTACCAACCAAGCACGTACATAGATCAGCACAGGAAGACTGACCTGAAACCATTTTGATTCCTAAACTGAGCAAATGTTTTCTCTGCAAGGTCAAAGGAAAATGGAAAATCCTCCCCATTGTTTTTTCTTTCACAAATCCTGTCTTAAGGGCACATTTAAGATATGAATAGAGTGTGAGCCTGTGACCTGGCCCAGGAACTAAGTATTTATCATTACAAAAGACTGGCCAGGCTCCCCAGGCAATCCAATCAAGTAACCTGCCAGACAGGAGATAAACAATGACAGGAGAAAAACAACATTCAAATTTGCGGGCACACGCGCTAAACCCTGTCTGTGGTGCCTACCCCTTTTCCCAAATGATAACACAAGAGACCAGAGTATGGGTTCAAATTGGCCACAACTTTATTGAACTTCAGAAGTGGGAAACTTGGCACAGGCCTTGGCAGGTAACCCTCTCAGCCCGCCTGGCTGAGGATATGCAGGCAGTTGAGGCCCAGTGAGAGGGGACTGCAAAGCGCAAACTTACACAGCATGCCCTTCCACTGACCTCGTCCGGGGAGCTTGACCTACATGCCGCTGCTCTAGGGCCAGGGACTCCCGGTTTGCCCTTTAACGGGCCCTGCACGCGCCGCCGCATGGGGAGGGAGCATGAATGCATCCCCCCCCAACTTGATGTTAGACTAAAGGCTACCTTGCCAAGGACTAAAACCGCCGAAGTTGTGACGAAATTGCTACGGGGAAGGCGAAACCTGCCAATGCAGGGAAAATTCCTTCCCGGTTCTGAATACAGCAACCATCTTACGACCGCAGCAGCGCCCGCTGACCTGGAACACAAAATATTAGCCTGTAAAGAAGAAATTGTTAAATTGAAGAACGCCGACCTAAGCTGAAATTAAAAGGCAAGAAATATTAATTGAGGGAGGGTGGGTGGGTGATCCCAGAAGGAAGAACGGCAAAAGAGGCTTGAGCTCAGGGGTCAGCCTCTTTTCTTTTGGCCTTAGGCCCACCCCCGGCCAGCCGTCCATTGTCCTCCCTGGCCGAGGGCGGGTCAAAGGCCAGCTCAAGCAGGTGGGTGGCACCCGCCCAGGTGAGCCTCGCTTGGTGCCGCAAACCCCGCCCACCTGTGGGGAAGGGAGGGCGGATATTGCAGGCACACGTGCTAAACCCTGTCTGTGGTGCCTACCCCTTTACCCCAAATGATGAGACAAGAGACCAGAGTATGGGTTCAAACTGGCCACAACTTTATTGTACTTACGAAGTGGGAAACTTGGCACAGGCCTTGGCAGGTAACCCTCTCAGCCCGCCTGGCTGAGGATATGCAGGCAGATGAGGTCCAGTGAGAGGGGACTGCAAAGCGCAAACTTACACAGCATGCCCTTCCACCGACCTTGTCCCGGGAGTTTGACCTACATGCTGCCGCTCTAGGGCCAGGAACTCCCTGTTTTTGCCCTTTAACAGGCCCTGCAAGCAAAACCACATGGGGAGGGAGCATGAATGCATCCCCCCGACTTGATGTTAGACTAAAGGCTACCTTGCCAAGGCCTAAAAACCGCCACCCGAGGCCCTAAGGGGCCTCGCCGCCAAGTCCCACAACCGGGGACCAATCAAACCCTGAAGTCTATCCAGTCCCCAAGGGCTCGTCGCAAGTCATGGAGCCAGAAGTCATTACCCAGTGGGGTCAGGCGCACTCCATCCCCCCTGAATAGGTCAACTCTATCTGCTGTGATGGTGGGATGCAGGATAGAGAACCCACCAATTTGCCGCATGGTGTTGCGCATGGCCCTGTTAATTTTACCCAACACATAATTGATGTGAGAGGGATTGGAAGCCCCCCTCCAGTGAAGACGGGGTAGGAGATTGGAACAGCCGATAGTCATTGATGGGTACAAGGCATGCAGGCTTTTTATATCTGCCCTTGCAGCAAGGGGCAGGGCAATGCCTTTTTGTTCCACTAGATCGTTCTCCCCCGCATGTATAATCAAGACCCTTGGAGGGCCATGTGCCGATGCGGCACTACGCAGCATGGGCATCAAGCTCTGCCAACGCATGCCCCGCTGGGCCATCCAATAAATGCGTACCTTGGGGTGGATGTTAAGGTTATGGCCACGATTGTGAGACCATGCATAATCCACTGCCCAATGGACAATGCTGTGCCCTACAACCCAGATCTTCATGGTGGGCAAACCTGTAAGACAATTAAATTGCAAGCGATAAGGAGGAGCCGCCGGGATGAATGTAGCTTTTGTAGCCTGCCGAGTGTCAGCACCCCAGTGCCTTGATGTGGGCGGGGTCCCAACCCTGTACCGCCACTGAAGTGGCAGCCCCGATACGGAAGGAGTGCCCTGAATATTCCTGGAGACTAAGGCCACAAGCCGATAAGGCTTTGCGTAAGACTGCTGTGAATTGTGTTCGCGTCAACGGGCGCGTGTTTGAGTGAATGAAGAAAGGGCCCTTGTCACAGGGGTCTGGCCAACAATGGAATTTACAAAAGTAAGAAATAGCTGCCCTGTAAAGCATTAAAGTTTTTATGGGAAGGCCCTTGCGCTTTAGGAGCACCAAGAACTGAAGCACCTCCTCCTCAGATGCGCACGGTGTCGTGGAGCCACGAAAAGGCCCAAAGGCATCCCAGGCCCTGTAATAAGAACGTCTAGTGGAGAGTGCTAATGCTGACAATACTCCCTGGTTTACTTCTCGCTTCCAATCTCCCACAGATCGTCTGGGAAGGCGTCTGGGAACTGGGCTGCTCCTGGTGCCAGCTCGCAGAAAAGCTCCATCTGGAAACGAGACAGTGCGTCAGCAATGTTATTGTTAAGGCCAGGTATAAAGCGGGCAGTGAAAAAAATATTGTGCCTCAGGCACTCCAGCACAAACAGGTGCAGGACCCTTATGACCCTCTGGGACTTTGCTCACTGCCTAGATATAACTCTTAGCACTGCTTGATTGTTGGACCAGAAACAGACCCTTGAATTCGAGAAGAGGGTTCCCCAGATTTGAATGGCGACTAGAATAGGAAAAAACTCCAGAAAGTTTAAATCCTGAGTGATGCCTGCTGCGTGCCAAGAAGATGGCCACGGCTGGGCGCACCAATGCCCCCTGAAGAACACGCCAAAGTGGCCAGAAGCATCAGAATGAACCTGGAACTCCACCCCAGGGTTAAGGCTCTTCTGCCAAAATGAAACCCCATTATAATCCTGCAGGAATGCAAGCCAAACCCTCAGATTGTCCTTTATCTGCTTTGTCACCCTGATGTGATGGTGGGGGGTTACTCCCCCCCGGCCATGAGCCGTGCCAGACGAGCACAAAAGGCACAGCCTGGTGCCACTACCCTACATGCAAAATTAAGATGACCCAATAGGAATTGCACCTGGCGAAGGGTGGTCTTTTTAACCCCAAGCAATGCCTCCAGCAACGCTTTCAAGGATTCCAGCTTGGTCTGCGGAAGGTGCGATGACTGCCGAATTGTGTCCAATTCAATACCCAAGTAGGAAAGGATAGTAGAAGAGCCCTCAGTCTTGTCAGCAGACGGAGGTATGCCAAAGTCAGCTGCAAGGCGCATGAATGTAGCCAGGGATAGGGCGCAGTTGGGGGAGTCTGGGGCCGCCATAGTAAGAAAGTCATCTAGGTAATGGGTCACAAAAGGGGAACCAGATGTGGTTTTGAAGGCCCATTTAATAAATTTGCTGAAGGTTTCAAAGGCCACGCAGGCCACAGAGCAACCCATGGGCATAGCCTTGTCAAAATACCAGCTATCCCTGAATTTGAATCCTAGGAGCCAAAAATCTTCAGGATGAACTGGGAGCAGCCAAAAGGATGACTCGATGTCACATTTTGCCAATAAGGCCCCAGGGCCCAATTCTCTGATTATTTTGATGGCTGCATCCAAGGATGCGTATTTAACTGAACAATGCTCCCGCGGTATGGCGTCATTTACAGACCCACCCCTAGGATAAGACAGGTTGTGTATCATGCGGAACTCACCAGGAAGTCTTTTGGGCACTATGCCAAGAGGGGAAACTATAAACTTTTTGAAAGGTGGGGCCGGGAAAGGGCCGGCCACCCTGCCCAAGGCCGCTCTTTTTCAATTTTGTTAAATGCAACAAGGGGCATTTCCCTTACTGACTTTTGATTGGGAGGGGTTCTGGATACCGGTGAACTGGAGACAGGGATGCAGAAGCCATAACAGAACCCTGCCTCCAAGTAGTTGGCTGCTGTCCTGTTGGGATAAGCCTGTAACAAAGGTAACATCACGGAGAGGCGGACAGGCGTTGGGGCTAGGGCGGAAAAAAAACTCATTTTTGGGAGGCAGCCTTGGCTTGCTGGGCTCCAGAGGTAGAGGCTCCTGAGTCTCCCTTGGCTCCACTCCCCAATCCTGTTTATCGAAAACTGCAAAAAGGGGGCTTAGCCTGAAAAGACTTAGTCCGTGAGTGAGGACCGCCGCAGCGCTCGCAAGCATGGTCGAAACGGCATCGGTCCCTGCTGCACAACCCATTATTAAACTCCCAACATGTTGACGTAGCCACCCTTTGCACTTTGGAGGGGTTTTTTCCTGACTTCTCCCCAAAAGCCCTTTTTTGGAAGTTTGATCCGAAGCCACTACTTTGGACCAAAGATCATTGTCCTTGATGTCCCAACACGCCTTGGGTTCTTCAGCAGCCCTATCACAGAACAGCTCATTGTATGCTAAAGCCGCTGAGTCCCCTGCCATTTTTCTGGCTTTTAAGATGATGCCCAGATAGTTACCCAAGTGTCAAGCCCTATCGGGGTAAGCAGCGGCCACCAATCCCATATAAGAGGTGAAAGCAGTTAGCCAATTGTCGAAAGCCGGGGAGAGCAGTGAAAACATATCCACAAATTCCCCATTTAGAATGCGATTGCGAATATTCTTTTTAAGCCGGATGCCGGGAGGCTGATCCGTGGTCTTGACGTTTGACGCCCGCACCCTCCCTTTCGCATCAAGCCCATCCTCCCCACTTGGCTCCTTGGCCCCAAAGGCGCAGCAATGGCGCCGGGTGCGACGTTCCCAAATCCAACTAGGCAGGCCAGGGGCCTTGTGGGTAATAACCCAGTACCCTTTGCATCGTTCTTTCGACTCACCACAGGAGGAATCACACGTACCTGAAAGCTCTGAAGAATCCGAAGTGTCCCTCTTGCAGTAACGCCCATGCTTCCTTGATCTGCAAAACCTCTTTTTCCTGCGTTGTGTTCTGCACGAATCAGGGCTGGAGGAGCTGTTCGATGAACTCAAAACAGGTGACCTATGCCTACGCCTACCCTTGCGAGAGCGCCGACGAGGTGACTTAGACTTATCTAAGTGCTCCTCAGCCCGAGCCAAGCAACGCTGCAGGCTGCGGTTCTGACGCAGTAATTCCTGCACATTGTCCTCACTGGACTGTGAAGAATCGCTCTCAGCAGAGAGCTCCTCCGGGTATACATGCTTTTTCTTCTTAGGGAGGGCCCTCATGGGCCTGGCATCAGAGGTGGAGGGGCCATCATCCCTCACTTTTTTCTTAGAGATTATTAACTTCATAGGTGGGACCTTCCGGCCGGAAGACAAGGCCCTTTTCTTAATTCTGTTGGCTGCCTTTACGGCATTGCTAGGGGTGCCCTTTGCTGCGGTTCTTGGAGTGCCCCCCGCTATAGTGTTGGGTGTAGTGAAGGGTTAACCTTCTATGTCTCGAGCTTGAGGGGAAGGGCTTACAAAGGAAGTAAGCCAGGACGTTACATCAGCAGCTTGTTATGCTGTGAAAGAGTGCTTTCGTTTTTGAGTTGGAGTGCGGCTTCCAGCCGAGAAAGATGTCTGAATTCTCTGGTGGAGTATTTGACTGTTTGGCATGTAAATAAAAAGCTTCTAGATTAGAAGAAACGTCTGGACTGATTTACTGTCCTTCTCACATTTCGCTGTGCATTCTGCTTCGTTTGCTTTCTCCCGTGATTACGCTGAAAACAGAAGCTGGCAGACGTTCGCAGCGGGAGCGTAACTGGACGGAGAAGCAATAAATCTTCAGAACAGGTTATGGATCAACGCCAAAAGTGTGAGAAAGGACTTGAAAGGCTTTAAAAGGACTGAACGTCAGCTTGATCGACTGCCAAAGAGATCAGAGGGGAGATCGGAGAAGGCTGATGGAGAGGGAGCATCGGAGCCAAGACTTTCCGGAATGCCCGTTTGGCAAGAATGAGTGAGTACTCTAGCCACAGAAGGGAAAGGGAAAGCATGGCAAAGCCCCAGGGACATGGCTTTGAGTTTAATATGCCGTGTCACAGACTGAGTAGCCAAAATTGGCTGGAATGGTCTTTTGCAATGGAATACTTGCTGGTGGGAGAGCAGCTATGGCACTTAGTGCAACCCCCACAGCCTGTTGCTGTGCAAGCACAGGGGAAGAAGGCTGCAATTCAAAGTGAATTGGAGCAACGTGTGCTCAGAATTCTGGCTTAAAGTGTGGAAGCTTATCTTGTGCCAGTCCTACAGGGTGCCAGACAGCCAAGGGTCACTTGGGAATCCCTCCAGAAAGCTTGTGAAGCTGGGGTGGGAAGCAAGGGCCAAGAGGTGGCTGCACCAGAGGGGGAGAGCCAAGATGGCACTGGCCAGATTCTTGAGAGCTCATCGAAAGCTAGGAGGAGCCTTGAGCCCCCACGGGGGGGTGAAGGGACTGTTGCTGGTGTTGCTGCTGGTGCTTTTGCTGTGCCCAAGAGCAGTTTGGCTGCTGCAACGCGTCTGTGTGAGGAGCCAGGAGAGAGGCTAAGAGTCGGGAGCCCCGTACCCATCAGAGGGGGTGCAGGTAAAGGTCCTGGAAGCCCTGTGAGGGGGGGCAGTGAGCAGTGAAAGCTCAGAGAAGCCTCTTTCTCCAAAAGCTGCCAAGTGTTGTTTACGCCGTGAGCCGGAGCCTAGCCATGGGAAGCTGAGTGCTCCTAGAGGCTTCAAGGCCAGCCATCTGCAGCAACCACAGATAAGAGCTTCGGAGAAGCGTGAGAACGCCGGGAGAAGTCCAGTCTCCAAGGCAACTGAGAGAGTTGCATCTACGGAAGCTGTGAAGGCCGTGGGCAAGTCTCCCTGGTGGGGGGAGCCTGTTGCTGTGACAACCAGAGAGGACATCTGCAGAGGCCCCAATGAGGGGGGCAGCAAGGGGAGTGTTGCTATGGCAATTCTTCAGGAATGGCAACAACCAGAGACTCTGACTGTCGTCATTGACATTGGAGCTACAAACACTTTAGTTCCATCTGCTGGTCTTTTGAGGAACTGCAGGACAGTAAAAACTGACAAATATGTCACTCTTGCTGATGGAAGTAAAAGAAGGCTGACACAATCAGGATATTTTTACTGTTCCTTTCTAAAACATGAGGTCAAAGCTTATGCGGTGCCAGGCTTAGCCAATTGTTTGTTAAGTGTGCATGATTTACTTGCTGATGGTTTTCGTGTGTCTTTTGCAGGTACCCAATGTGAGTTTTCCAAGAATGGGAAGCACTTGTACACAGTGCAGTCCAAAGGCAATTTATTTCTTGTAGAGTTGCCTATTTCTACTGAGGATGACACCGAAGATGCAAAGGGGCAATGTGCGAATGTAGCGCCCCACGATGGTTGTCCACATATCTGGCACAGGAGATTTGCCCATCTGAATTGGGGATTTGTCCAGAAGGCACCTGAACTGACACAGGGGTGCAAATTCAAGGCTTGTGACAGATTCTTGGATTGTAATGCTTGTAAACAAGCCAAGATTGTCACATGCTTTTATCCAAAGTCAGAGAGACAGACCACTCAACCCTTTGAGTTAATTCATCCAGATTTGTGTGGCCCCATGTCAGTTGAGTCACTGGGGGGATTAAAGTTCTCTCTGCTTTTGATCGATGATTTCTCGAAAAATGCGTGGATATTTGCTTTACGCTCTAAAGGGGAGGCGGCTAAGCTGATGAGGGATTGGATCACCGCAGTTGAGGTAACCTTCTCCACCAAAGTGCGTGGTTTTCAAAGTGACAGGGGTTCGGAGTTCACTGGTTCTGCTTTGCAGGATTTCTTTAGGGACAAGGGGATTAGCCACCGATTGACCACTCCTTACTCTCCGCAGCAAAATGGAATCGCGGAGAGGCGGAACAGGACGATACAGGAAGCGGTATTGTCTGTACTGTGGGATGCAGGGCTACCCCAGAAGTACTGGTCGGAACCCTGGCGGTATGTGGTGCATATGCAGAATAGAGTGTACAACTCAAGTGTAGGGAACACGCCCTATTTCTTGCTGCATGGAAAGAAACCCAAGGTGCACTACCTTCGTGTGTTTGGCTGTGAGGCCTGGGTTCTAATTCCAAAGGCTCTATGGAAGAAAGGTGAGCCAAGATCCAAAAGAATGATCTTTGTAGGGTATGAGCCTGGCTCCAAGGCCTGGCAGTTTGCGTACCTATAATGGTATGGGGTTGCTCGTGCGTAAGTTGCCGCCTCTCCTGGCTATGTTGCCTTGTTAAACCTTTCTGTCTGGACAGCCCTTCAATTCGTGGCTGCCTCAGTCACTAGCAGAATCCGTCAGTGGGCGTTTCTTAAACCTTTTCCAACATAAAAGTTGTTTGACACCCAGTCTCCTCCTACTTTCTCTGCGCGGAAGTCTCCTGCGTGGGTAGCGGAGGACCAGTGCTCTCCCCGCTGGTGTCCGGTGAAGAGTCTGGGAGCCCTCTCTCCGATTCCCCCATCTGCCCATCCTTATTCCTGGTGTTGCACTGAATTGCTTCCCCATCTGCTGAGCTGCCTCTCTCCCTGCTGGGCCCTTCTCCAGCATCATTAGAGAGCCTCCCCTCCACCTCTAGCTCCGATGTCAGTTCCCTGACAGATGCCTTATGAGGAAGGGCATGTTTAGCCTGGAGAAGAGGAGTTTAAGGGGTGATATGATAGCCATGTTCAAATATATAAAAGGATGTCACATAGAGGAGGGAGAAAGGTTGTTTTCTGCTGCTCCAGAGAAGCGGACACGGAGCAATGGATCCAAACTACAAGAAAGAAGATTCCACCTAAACATTAGGAAGAACTTCCTGACAGTAAGAGCTGTTCGACAGTGGAATTTGCTGCCAAGGAGTGTGGTGGAGTCTCCTTCTTTGGAGGTCTTTAAGCAGAGGCTTGACAACCATATGTCAGGAGTGCTCTGATGGTGTTTCCTGCTTGGCAGGGGGTTGGACTCGATGGGCCTTGTGGTCTCTTCCAACTCTATGATTCTATGATTCTATGAGGTGGCAAGAATACGCAGAGGAATTATACCAGAAAGATGTGGATGGCTCGTACACCCCAGGTAGTGTGGTTGCTGACCTTGAGCCAGACATCCTGGAGAGTGAAGTCAAATGGGCCTTAGAAAGTACTGCAAATAACAAGGCCAGTGGAAGTCTTCCGGGGTGACGCCATCGGCAATGGCGGATTCCCTCTGAACTGGAGGGACCAGCTCCATGGGAATCGGGTCTTTTCCGCTACGGCGAAGCGGGGACCCATTCAAAAATCACAGGCGGATGAAGCCTGTGACCATGGGACTCGGCGGGCACCCTTAGCGCCCCCCCAACCCGCAAAAGAACCCATTAATGGGCTCCGGAGCGAAGAGGGGGAAGTGGCGCGGTGCTGAGAGTCAACTGCTTCTTCCGTGGAGCGAAGCCGCACAGCCGTTGCCGGAGAGCGCTGCCTTTTTCCTGGGACAATCTGGCTTCTAAAATAATCACCCGTGAGTACCTAAATTCGGACAATTGGACTCTAAATAAGGACTTGTGAGCAGAAAGGAAAATTGGACTTAAAAGTTTACCTTAATTTGGCGCTGAAACGGGAAGGTCTAAACAGGAAGTCAGCCTTCCGTTTCTTTGTAGATAGATTAAAGCAAAGACATGGCAAACTAGAGCTCAGAAAATCGCCTGTAAAAGATTAACTTTCATCATTTAAAATTGTTGAACCCCCTTCGGAAGCAGGAGAAGAGGGGGGATTTTTTCGGACTGTTTAAACCTGCAGAAGTGAGTTTAAAGTAAAGTAACTTTCCACTGTCCTGATCCTGGAGCGGGGTGTTAGGACTGACGTTTTTTGAACCTCATTGACCAGAGACAACGTTTTTGACAGATAGCTATAAGAAGAGAAACATTGACTCCATTGTTCCCCTTCGCTTCTTAAAGGAACAAATATTGACAAAATATCTGAAAAAGGAAACTTTGTTGCTAGACTTGTCTTTAAAAGAAAGAACAAATAGAAGTTTTCCCCTAGAGGGAGACTGTGAAACTGTAACCAACTCCGGGAGCTGGCAGCTGTTACAGATTACAATCGTGGGAATAGACATCTGACCTTGCAGGACAATGTATTCAGAAGCTCTGTTGTGTGCTTTCTATAAAACAAATGCCCTACTGGAACAGCTACATGAGAAGACGAATTTGATGGCTGATTCGATTAGAAATTTTGAACAGGAAGTGGGAAATTTTGAACAGGCAGTGGGAAAATATGTGGAGCCCACCCAGGAATTAAATCAGGAGTGTGCCCTGACAGAACAGGCCCAACAGGAATATGAGCTTCGGATTTGACAAATGAACTTGGAAAAAGCCAGATTTGGAAAGAAAAAGTTTGGTTTGGTTTGGAAATGGGGGGCTGGATAGACCCCCCTATGCAGGGATGTTTGGACTTTTCAAGTCTGGCAATGGGCCGTGAGATGTTTGGGATTGTGGGGGCTCCTAATTTTGGAGGGATTTTGAAACATGTTTTTAAATACCACATGGAATTTAGTGTCAATTATGGAAAAGGGGCTGATCTGTCGAGAAGGGTCAAAAATATTGTTAAGCTGGAGTTCCCACGAGTGAAACGAGCAGGAGACAAGGGAAAATACAGTTACAAATATGAAGAAGAGCTGCGGAAGGGACATGGAAGAGACTTAAGGGCCTCGGATATAAGGTTACCAGGTTAATGCGCTAGATCGATGGGATAATAAGGACTGACAAAACCCGGGACCAGGAGGAAGGGACGCTGGATGAAGATTGGATTGTTTTTATTTCCTTTTTTACTACTAGGATTGTTCTATAAAATTGATGAATGTTAGAAAAATGTTGGAATGAAATTACTTGGCTTTAGTAAAAATGTTTAAAGAATTATGTAAGAATATTATGGTTATGAGAAGTTGGTAAAAATAAGATTTAAGTTTTAAGTTTCAAGGTTTTTTCTAGTAAGATAAGATTAAAATAGTTTAAGGTAATGTAATGACAGAATATTATGAAATATGGAAAGGATTTGCTGCGACAATTAACAACTAGGAAACAAAAAAAGGGAGGAGGAGGTCAAAGAAAGAAGGTAATGACAGTTGAGGATTTGAGAATAATGGATTTGTTTTTAAATGTTTTTAAATGTTTGTGGTGTATTTTTTTTTTTGGAATTTGTATTGTTGGATGTGGTTTGCTTTTTTTCTTTGTTCTTTCTTTTTCTCTTTTTCTACTTTGTTTTCTTTTGTAACTTTAAAAATTTTTTTTCCAATAAATATCATTTAAAAAAAACACAAAAAAACAAGGCCAGTGGAAGTGATGGTATTCCAGCTGAACTATTTAAAATGTTAAAAGATGATGCTGTGAAGGTGCTACACTCAATATGCCAGCAAGTTTGGAAAACTCAGCATTGGCCAAAGGATTGGAGAAGATCAGTCTACATCCCAATCCCAAAGAAGGGCAGTGCCAAAGAATGCACCAACTACCGCACAATTGCACTCATTTCACACGCTAGCAAGGTTATGCTTAAAATTCTAGAAGGTAGGCTCAAGCAGTATGTGGACAGAGAACTCCCAGCAGTGCAAGCTGGATTTCGAAGAGGCAGAGGAACCAGAGACCAAATTGCAAACATGTGCTGGATTATGGAGAAAGCTAGAGAGTTCCAGAAAGACATCTCCTTCTGCTTCATTGACAATGCAAAAGCCTTTGACCGTGTCGACCATAGCAAACTATGGCAAGTTCTTAAAGAAATGGGAGTGCCTGATCACCTCATCTGTCTCCTGAGAAATCTCTATGTGGGACAAGAAGCTACAGTTAGAACTGGATATGGAACAACTGATTGGTTCAAAATTGGGAAAGGAGTACAACAAGGCTGTATATTGTCTCCCTGCTTATTTAACTTATATGCAGAATTCATCATGCGAAAGGCTGGGCTGGATGAATCCCTAGCCGGAATTAAGATCGCCGGAAGAAATATCAACAACCTCAGATATGCAGATGACACAACCTTGATGGCAGAAAGTGAGGAGGAATTAAAGAAACTTTTATTGAGGGTGAATGAGGAGAGTGCAAAATATGGTTTGAAGCTCAACATCAAAAAAACAAAGATCATGGCCACTGGTCCCATCACCTCCTGGCAAATAGAAGGGGAAGAAATGGAGGCAGTGAGAGATTTTACTTTCTTGGGCTCCATGATCACTGCAGATGGTGACAGCAGCCACGAAATTAAAAGACGCCTGCTTCTCGGGAGAAAAGCAATGACAAACCTAGACAGCATCTTAAAAAGCAGAGACATCACCTTGCCAACAAAGGTCCGTAGAATTAAAGCTATGGTTTTCCCAGTAGTGATGTATGGAAGTGAGAGCTGGACCATAAAGAAGGCTGATCGCCGAAGAATTTATGCTTTTGAATTATGGTGCTGGAGGAGACTCTTGAGAGTCCCATGGACTGCAAGAAGATCAAACCTCTCCATTCTTAAGGAAATCAGCCCTGCGTGCTCACTGGAAGGACAGATCCTGAAGCTGAGACTCCAATACTTTGGCCACCTCATGAGAAGAGAAGACTCCCTGCAAAAGACCCTGATGTTGGGAAAGATGGAGGGCACAAGGAGAAAGGGACGACAGAGGACGAGATGGTTGGACAGTGTTGTTGAAGCTACCAGCATGAGTTTGACCAAACTGCGGGAGGCAGTGGAAGACAGGAGTGCCTGGCGTGCTCTGATCCATGGATATTGATCTTTTGCAACAGGATGCTCCCCTCACAAGCATTGTTCTGGGAAGAGGAACCCAGAAGAATGGCATGCAAGGCCTTATATAGACATTTTAAATTCCCTGCCCTGGAGCTCAAGACCACCACTCCATACATCATACATACGTCACAGAAGGGGTGTAACCTAAGACCACCCCCCAGATACATCATAACTACATCACAGAAAAGGCAGTCTAAAACAGAATATCCGCCCTCCCTTCCCCACAGGTGGGCGGGGTTTGCGGCACCAAACGGGGCTCACCTTGGCGGGTGCCACCCACCTGCTTGAGCCAGCCTTTGACCTGCCCCCAGTCAGGGAGGACAATGGCTGGCTGGCTGGGAGTGGGCCTAAGGCCAAAAGAAAAGAGGCTGACTCCTTGGTTCAAGCCTCTTTTGCTGTTCTTCCTTCCACGATCAGGATCAAGAGCGTGTCTAGGCGGCCAGATTGAGGTAAGTTGCCGGCCTTCTTTGCTTTGCCTGGATGGGGGGGGGGGATTTGAACCCCTCCACCAGACTAGGCTGCAGTTTTGGCATGCTTGGTTGGGCATGTTGCAGCCTTTTCGGTTTTTGTCGCCAGCGTGGGAGGGAGCTTTGCTCCTCGGCCGCTGGCCGGGGTGCTGCTGGCCTGAACGGGTGGCACGGCCCCTGGCGGGGCCGCTAGTGCGGCCTGCTCACCTTTTTGTGGCAGTGGGGGGGGAGGCATTGCTCCCCCGCCACTGGTCCAGGGCTCTGCTGACCCGAGCGGGTGGGTTTGCGTGGCCGGTTTCCTTTTGCAGCGGTGGGGGAATTGCTCCCCGTTGAGCCTCCCGCCGGTCTGGGGTGCCTGCTGACCTGGGCAGGCGGCGTGGGCCCGACTAGGCCGCAAACGCGGCCTGTTTGCCTTTTGCGGCGGCAGGGCATTCCTCTGCCGCTGCCAGCCTAGCCCCCATTGCGGGCCCCAGCTGGGCCGTTAGCGCGCAATGGTGGTGGCGTTGCCCCCTGCCTCTGCCAGCCGCTGGCCCGGGGTGCTGCCGCCGGCCCGGGTGGGCTGCGTGAGCCTGACTAGGCTGCGGTGGTGGCCTCCTTGCCTTTTGTGTTTGCTTTGGCGGCGGCGGGGGGGGCATTGTTCCTCTACAGCCGCCGCCATGGCCTAAAGGGCCAACCTGCTTGTTTTGCTGGTGGGGGTATGGCATAGCTCCCCTGCTGCCAACCGTACCGTGGGAGGTGCCTCATCAGGCCCGAGAGGGCCACGGGTTCCTTTGACAACAGGCTGCTTGGGGGGCTTTTCATTTGGCAGCGGCACCGGGGAGGGGGGCCCTCGCCGGGCCCAAGAGGGTGTAGGGCGCCCTGGTGGTAGGCCGCATGTCAGCCACCCACTGAAAAATCTTAGAAGCATGGCTTTCAGTTGTCTGGTTGGGGGGGGGTTATGTCAGGCCGCATGGCGGTCATGTTCACACTCCTCCCCCCGTTCTTTATAGCAGGAGCCCATGATTAAGGATGTGTGCTAACTGCTATTCCTCTTTTGCAGCTTTAGTATTTGTGTGCAGTTAGGTTGGCTGGTTCTGTCCTTAGCCCAAATCTTTTGATTGCAAAATATATTAATAACAACAACAACAATAATAATAAATTAAAAACAAGAACAAAACCTGCCATTTTACTCAGGTATTTTGTGGGTTCCAGTAGTGGTGGACATCGCTTCTAGGTGCATTATGTCTCTAGCCATGGCGGCTGAATAATTGGAAGGCTCCCCCTTGCACACAGATGGTGCTATATGTTCTGAAGATTTATTGCTTCTCCATCCAGTTACGCTCCCGCTGCAAACGTCTGCCAGCTTCTGTTTTCAGCGTAATCATGGGAGAAAGCAAACAAAGCAGAATGCACAGCGAAATGTGAGAAGGACAGTAAATCAGTCCAGACGTTTCTTCTAATCTAGAAGCTTTTTATTTACGTGCCAAACAGTCAAATACTCCACCAGAGAATTCAGACATCTTTCTCGGCTGGAAGCCGCACTCCAACTCAAAAACGAAAGCACTCTTTCACAGCATAACAAACTGCTGACGTAACGTCCTGGCTTACTTCCTTTGTAAGCCCTTCCCCTCAAGCTCGAGACATAGAAGGTTAACCCTTCACTACACCCAACACCCCCTCTTGTCTCGCGCCTGAGGGGGAATATTGACCCTTGGTCACCCCAAACCCAGACCTTCGCAAAACTCCCCATGTCTTTGGAAGGGGAGTGGCTTTGTGAACCCATCAGCGAGGTTCTTGGAGGAGCGACAGTACTTCAACGCAACTAACCCCTTCTGAACACTCTGTCACACATTCTGAAAGCGAATGTCTAGGTGTTTGGTCCTGGCCTTGAATTGACCCGTCTCGGCCAAATTGTTTGTCCAGCAGTTTCTTTTCCACTTTTTTAATCCCAATCTTTAATCTTAATGTAATATAGCATTAAAATTTTACCTATTAAGTACCCAATTTCCATTTCCTTAAACTTCTTTAATCCTAATCTTTAATCTTAGTCTATCTATAACTTTATCCTGTACAGCTGGAAACCACTTATTTTCAATCCAACATCACTCTAACATTCTTTAATTTTGCAGTGTTTCTGTAGATAATCTTTGAGTTTCTTCCAATCTTCCTCCACCGACTCTTCTCCCTGGTCACGGATTCTGCCAGTCATTTCCGCCAGTTCCATATAGTCCATCAGTTTCATCTGCCATTCCTCCAGCGTGGGAAGTTCTTGTGTCTTCCAATACTTTGCGATGAGTATTCTTGCTGCTGTTGTTGCATACATAAAGAAAGTTCTGTCCTTTTTAACACCATTTGGCCGACTATGCCCAGGAGAAAGGCCTCTGGTTTCTTGGGGAAGGTATATTTGAATACCTTTTTAATTCATTATATATCATTTCCCAGAAAGCCTTAATCTTTGGGCACGTCCACCAAAGGTGAAAAAATGTACCTTCAGTTTCTTTACATTTCCAACATTTATTATCGGGCAAATGATAGATTTTTGCAAGCTTGACTGGGGTTATGTACCACCTGTATATCATTTTCATAATATTCTCTCTTAAGGCATTACATGCCGTAAATTTCATACCTGTGGTCCACAACTGTTCCCAGTCAGCAAACATAATGTTATGTCCAACATCTTGTGCCCATTTAATCATAGCCGATTTTACCGTTTCATCCTGAGTGTTCCATTTCAGCAGCAAGTTATACATTCTTGACAAATTCTTAGTTTTGGGTTCTAACAGTTCAGTTTCTAATTTTGATCTTTCCACCTGGAAGCCAATTTTCTTGTCCAATTTAAATGCCTCCATTATCTGAAAATAATGAAGCCAGTCTCGCACTTTGTTTTTTAATTTTTCAAAACTCTGCAATTTCAGTCTATCTCCATCTTGTTCCAAAATTTCCCAATATTTCGGCCATTTGACCTCCATATTGACCTTTTCAAGGCTTTCGCTTCCATTGGTGACAGCCACCTTGGGGTTTTGTTTTCTAACAAATCCTTATATCTTATCCAAACATTAAACAGCTCTTTCCTGACAATGTGGTTTTTAAATGCTTTATGTGCTTTGACCTTGTCATACCATAGATATGCATGCCATCCAAATACATTGTTAAAACCTTCTAGGTCCAAAATGTCAGTGTTTTCAAGAAGTAGCCATTCTTTCAGCCAGCAAAAAGCTGCTGATTCATAGTAAAGTTTGAGGTCTGGCAGGGCAAATCCACCTCTTTCCTTTGCATCCGTTTGTATTTTAAATTTTATTCTGGGCTTCTTGCCCTGCCAGACAAATCTAGAAATATCTTTCTGCCACCTCTTGAAACAATCCATTCTGTCCACAATTTGCAAAGTTTGAAACAAAAACAACATTCTAGGCAATACATTCATTTTTATCGCAGCAATACGGCCCAGCAATGAAAGCTTCAAATTTGACCAAATTTCTAAATCTTTTTTCACTTCAGCCCAACATTTTTCATAGTTATCTTTAAATAAGTTCCCATTTTTTGCTGTCATGTTAATCCCCAGGTATTTAACCTTCTAACTCCCCATGTCTTTGGAAGGGGAGTGGCTTTGTGAACCCATCAGCGAGGTTCTTGGAGGAGCGACAGTACTTCAACGCAACTAACCCCTTCTGAACACTCTGACACACATTCTGAAAGCGAATGTCTAGGTGTTTGGTCCTGGCCTTGAATTGACCCGTCTCGGCCAAACGAAGGCATGGCTGATTGTCTTCGAAGACAAGTATCGGCAGACAATTTTCTCCGCAGAGTTCCTGGACTAAACAAGCGTAGAACTCTACCTCTCTGCACACCTCTGAAAGAGCACTGAACTCAGCTTCAGTGGATGAGAGCGCTATAAGACTCTGCTTCTTGGACCTCCATCCAACTACTGAGTTCCCAAACTTCAACACTAGGCCAGACACTGACTTGCGATCCTGAAGATTAGCCCAGTCCAAGTCCACAAAACAAGTCAGTTTGACTTCACCTTGCACTGGCAACCTAAGGCAAAAGTCTTTGGTTTCTTTTTTTTAAAAAAAAAATATTTATTACTTTTCCAGCAATTTAAACACTACAAAAAAAAATAAACAATACCATACAATACAAAAACAATACAGAACACTAACACATTAAACTAACAAAACAAAACAAAAACAGTTTAAAACACATCAAACAGTTTCAATATCTTATCTTTCATTCACTTATTTCAATGACCTCCTCACACCTCCCTTTTTGTATTCCACTTCTGTTAATTGTTTCAGCAATTCCTTTCCATCTTCCTCTGCTTTCTATCCTTTAACTATCTTAACACATTCTAACCTTATTTTTCCCTTTAATACTCTATTAATCTATTTATACTTAATTCCTTATAACATTTCTACTAAAGCCATATAACTTCATTCCAACATTTTCCTAACATTCATTTATTTTACAGTATTTCTGTAAATAGTCTTTAAACTTTTTCCAGTCTTCTTCCACCGACTCTTCTCCCTGGTCTCGGATTCTGCCAGTCATTTCCGCCAATTCCATATAGTCCATCAACTTCATCTGCCATTCTTCCCGGGTGGGTAAATCTTGTGTCTTCCAATACTTTGCAATGAGTATTCTTGTTGCTGTTGTTGCATACATAAAAAAAATTCTATCCTTCTTTGACACCAATTGGCCAACCATGCCCAGGAGAAAGGCCTCTGGTTTCTTCAGAAAGGTATATTTAAATACCTTTTTCATTTCGTTATAGATCATCTCCCAGAATGTCTTAATCTTTGGGCATGTCCACCAAAGGTGAAAAAATGTACCTTCAGTCTCATTACATTTCCAACATTTATTGTCGGACAAATGATAATTTTTTGCAAGCCAAAAGTATTTGGTTTCCTGCAAATACCTCAGAACTCTCTTGATTCCATTCCAGGCTTGCACACTAGGATTTGAAGCCTCCCTGCTGAGCAGATTGACAGCAAACGCTATATCTGGTCTGCTCCACTGGGACAAGTACAGCAAACTCCCTAGGGCTGACTGAAACACTTCAGCATTTTCGAACACAGCGTGTTCTACTTGCTGACTGTCCTTCACAAAACTAGTCTCCATAGGACTTCTCACTCCCGCACAATCGCTCATCCTGAATTTCTGAAGCAGTTGCTCAATTTTGCCTCTTTGGCTGAGCAAGAAGCTTCCATCTTGTGCTTTGACAACATCCACACCTAAATAAGTCTTGACAGCTCCAAGCTGCTTGAGCTTGAACCGTTTACCTAGCTCCCTGGCAAACCTCTCTGCCTGTTTATCTGTCTCTGAAAAGAATAATACATCATCAACATAAATCTGCAAGTACTCTTGTGTTGCACCTGATCCTCTCAAATAGAGGCAACTATCAGCAACACTTCTTCTGAAACCTAGCTCTTCTAAGGCTTCATTTAGGCATATGTTCCAGTTTCTGGCTGATTGACGTAATCCATAGATGGATTTGTGCAATCTCCACACAACACCCTGCCTCAAGATCTCAAACCCCGGAGGAGGAAGCATGTACAGCTCCTCCTGGAGATCTGAGTTCAGGTAGGCAACATCCATATCAAAGTGGTTTACCTTCCAGCCTCTCTGTGCAGCAACAGCTAAAAGCGTCCTCAGAGTCTCCGCTCGTGAGGTTGGCGAATACAC